AAGTGGGAATTCCGAGTGCCGAGTGCCTGGCACTACCTCAATGCCTGGTGCAGTTCGTCTGTCAATCAAATGAATGACTAAACAGGCACATCATCCCTAGACTTACCCAGGTTACATCTCGGGGTCCGGAATAGTAAAACAAGGAAAGTTCCTTGGCAGTAGGTGTGTGCTGCCCCACCCCACTCCCCTCTAAAACAAAACCATGTATGTATCTTTGGAACCTGTGGACATTTCCTGGCATGACTTTGTTGCCCTAACAAACACTGATTGAAAGCAACTTGGGGAAGTAAAGAGTTTATTTGGCTTCTGCTTGCACACACAGTCCATCACGGGAGGGAAGTCAGGGAGGAAGTAAGGCAGGAACCCCAGAGGGAGACTGGCTGGCTCCCCACGGCTCACTCGGCTTGCTTTCTTAGACCACCCAGGCCCACCTGCCCAGGCTTGCTCCCTCTCCATTGGGCTGGAGGAAAATGCCCTACAGTCTCCCCTACAGGCCATTGTGATGGAGGCATTTTCTCAGCTGAGGTTCTCAGAAAATGTACAACTCATCCCTCTTCTCGGCTGACTCTAGCTTGTGTCAATTAAGCAGCACAGCGTGTATATAGAAAGTGCTTGTGCATTCATTTACACAGTATTTTTACTTTTATTTTATTTAAAATACACAGTATTCTAACCTCAGGGGTGGCTCACTCACACCTCCGCCAACAGGGTTGGCTCAATTGTGCGGCCCTGGCAAGGTACAGGGCCTGCTCTCCTGAGAGTGTTGCAGCTGCGGGGGTGGGGGATAGTGGTAGTGGGGATGAAGGGGTGGTCACAGGGGCGGGGGGGTGGTGGCTGACATGAAGGGTGGTCACGGGGGGGGGGGCTGACATGGAAAGACTGGGAGGTGAGCTTGAACGGGGTGCATAATGTGAGATTCCCAAATAGCCAATAAAAATAAAGAGCTATTTCTAAGAAGAAAGTATGAGGTAAGCATTTGTGTACATACTGGGATGGTCCCAGTGAGAAACGTCCCCCCTAGGGCAGGTATTTAAATACTTGGTCCCAGGTCAGTGGCACTGCTTGGTGAGACAGTGGAGTCTTGATGGAAAAAGTATGTCACTGGGGGCTGGCTTTGAGGGTGTATAGCTTCGCCCTGCTCCCAATTCACTCTGGTGGCTTCGTGTTTGCTGTTGAGGGTGTGATCTCTCCCCTTCTGCTCGGCCACCGGCTGCCATGCCGCCCAACAGCTGCGGGCTCTGCCTTTGGAACCACAAGCCCAGATAAACTTTCTTCTATATCACTGTTGGCTGTGGGGTTTTATCACAGCAAGAGAGAAGTAGCTAACGTACTCAGCAGCCTGTTTAACAACTAGAAGTGGCATTCCCTTTGGGCCCCCTTTGTGTCTCTCAGTGCATAGCTTTCCTGACTTTCTTTATCCTGGGGACAACCAGTATTCTTGACCTCTGTGTTATGCATTCTGTATACTTTTTTCATACATATAGATATGCATATATTATAAATAACATATATTAAAGATATACATGTGCCACCTCATTCACTTTTTCCATTTTTTGTGACTTCCAGTTGTATCACTGAAATCCTTATTCTTTAATGGTTCAATTTGTCCTACACTATGATGTCTCCTGTACCTGTAGGTCACTCATGTGAGCTACTGCCCCGTAAACATGTGAAGATGTCATAAGGGCATGCCTGCCACCCATTTATCTACCTATTCTTTAAGCAATAGACACATGGGCTAGGCACAGCTCCCAGCCTGAGAGACAGTCAATGCCACCGTGAACCCTCAGGTGCTTGCTTCCTGGGGTACAGATGTGAGCTATCTAAGGCACACGCTGAGTAAAACTGTGAAGCCAAGGGGGACAGAATACATTCTCCACCTCCAGTGTGTCTTTTCCACAGTGAGAGTGCGCATGCTTAGTATTCTCAAGTAGCTTGTTTCTTGTTTTCTTATTCTGACAGCATGTATTAGTCCTATAATTTAGTCAATAAATACTCATACTTTGCTTAATCATCTCTAGTCTGTAGAGCTATTATGTTGCTAACTGGTGGTCTCTCCCTCATCATCCATGGGCTAGCATTTAGAACTAGACATACCTACAGTCTGGAAAGTCTACTCGTTCTTGGTAGGCTGCAGGAGGAATTAAGCACACAAACTCTGCAGTCAAAATGCCTGCCTGAGTTCAAAACCTAGCTCTGCGCCTGGAGAAACTGCTCAGTGGTAGAGCACTGGTGGCCCTTGCAGAGGACCTGGGTTCAATTCCCAGCACCCACGTAACAGCTCACAATCAGCTGTGACTCCAGTTCCAGGGGATCCGGTGGTCTCTTCTGGCCTCCCAGGTACCAGGCCCACATGTGGCACATAGACCCACATGTAGGCAAAACATTCAAAGTCACATAAGATAAAAACTAATTAAAACCTAGTTCCACCAATTGCTGCTGACTGCACGCCTGTGATATGCTAAGATGTCATGATACAGGGAGTTTCCCTATCGTAACTCACGAGGCTGCTTTACACAAACCCCACACATTACAGAATTAAACACAGCAGAGACGCGTCTCAAATGTGACAGGCATGAGCAGATGTAACTCTCCACATGTTCACTGCAGTCCGTCGTTCTCTATCTGTTCCATTCTTCACTTCTCCTAAGTAACCAGGTCCCCCAGACACAGAGCCAGGAATTCCGGCTCTACTCACTAACACGGCCAGGGCAGTTCAACTCTCTGCTGGAACACTGTCATCACATGGACAGTTCCAGAACTTTCCTTAATGAAAGCCAAACTCCACAAACCAAATGTCTCAAGCCATCTTCCTCCCCTTGTTTTTAAACAAACTCAGAACTCCTCTCTCTCTCTCTCTCTCTCTCTCTCTCTCTCTCTCTCTCTCTCTCTCTCTCTCTCTCTCTCTCTCTCTCTCTCTCTGTGTGTGTGTGTGTGTGTGGGGGCATGTTTACCACAATGGTACTTGCGTACTTGCTCCTCATCCTGTCTCACTGTCTGGGAGTGGATTGTGCCCAGTCACTAGTGGATTCCAAGCCACTGAATCATACAGTCACTTCTGCCCCTCTTAATGGATCTCTTGGCAGCCCAAATACGACAGGACATTTGCTTCTTGAAATACCTTCCCTGGATTCCCTCACCACATACCCCTGGCATCCAGCATACATCCCATAAAAACACACATCAACAAGTTCTCTTCACAAGCTGTCTCTTTCCTTCCTGCTTTCTCTGCAGCTCATCCTACCTGAGATGGTGACACCTTTAAAATACAGCTGGAGAGATAGCTCAGGGGTTAAGAGCACTGGCTGCTCTTCCAGAGGACCCAAGTTCAGTTCCCAGCAACCATGTCAGGAGGCTCACGATTGTCTGTAATTCTAGCTCCAGGGGGATCTAACACCTTCATGCACACTACACTCATGCACACGCCCACATCTATACAAAATTTAAACAGAACAAAAATAAACCTTTAAAATGCTCATGGTTTTCAATATGAACGTCCTGTGTAGGGAGAGAATCACCTACAGCTTTAGCCATGCCCCAGCGGGAGAGGGGAATAAATAGGGCCGCCTGGCGCTCTCTTCTCTTGGATGCTGGCCGCGTTTCAGAGAGCTTCCCATCTTCCCAGTTTCTCTTGTGATTTCTCCTGTGAATAAATATCCTTGCCTCCCAGTTTCATTGATTCCTTGTCAGTCCTGACTTTATTAGCCCCAGACTTCCACACCCAATTGCTTGCTGGCCATCATCCGTACTTCATGGCTCAACCACGATGGTAGCTGAGAACAGTCCCCATTGGCTTTCATGTTGGAGGCCATCACCCCGCTAGTCTCTCTGGCTTGTAACACCATAACCACTAGCTACATTTCAGCTTCCTAGTCTTTCAAATCTTCACCCCAATATCACCTCCTCAAACAGGCCCTCTGACTAGCCCTCTAAAGAAGCCCCTAAGCCTCACCCAGCCTTGTTCAGCTCTGGCCATCAGTACGGTACGATTATATCAGAAGCCAGCTTTTTGTCAACGTACCTTACTCCTGAACATCCCCCTCCCCTTGGAATACCCAAGCCTTTGAAGAGACGACAGGGGCCAAACCATAGGATAAACAAAGCCTTTTAAAATTTTATTCTATTAGAAAGGAGAAAAACACATATGGACTTGTTTAGAGGGCTCAGGGACGTAAACAATAGCACCTTTTCATGCCAGTTCATCCAAAGACATCAGGAACAGAGTAATGAATAAGGGAAAGGGCACCCTTGTAAGCAAGGTATAGTGTACGTAACGGTATATTGATTGATTTTCTTCTGTAGAAATGACATCTCTATGAATGAAAGCACCACAAGTATTCTTACAAATGTCAACTGTGTTGTGAATCTCTGAGGTTCAGTACATGCATCCATAACAATGACAGATGCAGAAATACTGCACATCTTCAATCAGGATACGAAGAGAACACTGGCATTTACACGCCCCTGCATAGCATCATTACTCAGGCTGGGGCACGATTTCATTTCCAAGCATTCAACAAAGGTTATTTTTGTGTCTTGACTTCTGATTTAGCTGTAAGATGTAAAAAAAAAAAAATCCTACACAGTCAGGCAATGTGCTAGGTCATGAGAAAGGGCTTAAAAATAAAAATGACCTACCAGGTAATTTGAACATAAATCCTTGGTGCTAAATCCTTAGGATAAAAATATCCACTGGCAAAGAAATCCTTACTTAAATGGAAAAAAGAACATTGAAGAGGATGGTATGTGCCCTGAAAAATCCAGGTTCAAAATTAAATATATTTATATTCTCAGTTGGTGTTCAAATAGGGTCTGTCATTTGCTATATATATCAAAGCATACCTCTATAAAATGTGTTTTTAATTTCTGTTGCCTTTTCCCAAGGTTTACATTGATTGTTTTACCGAACTGCAAGTGTTCCCAGTTTCTCAATCCCTGTCCTACACTCCTTCCCACCCCCTCTCTGGTCTCAATTAATAGATAAAATGCAAAATCAGAAGTAGACTGAAGATGTTTTATTCATAGTTAGGCTTCTGTAACTCCAAAAAAGGAAACAAATTTAACCACATATCTAGAAATACCAGGAGGCTCTGCAAGGCTAGAAGTAGGCACAGACCGTAACAGAGAAGAAAGGCTGACACGGCCTTTTGTGTTCAGACATGTTGGCTTCAGTCCTGTCACATGAAACTCTGTTCTCTGGCTGGTAACACTTCATGAGCAGAGGTGAGGAGGGGGGGACTTGAAGACTTCCCTGCACTGTATGGGTGTAGCAGTCAGGTCCCCCAGGTATGGTATTATTGCAATGTCAAACAGGTAAGTACTATGATAGCAATGGCCACACTCACAGCCGTTACAGCAATGACATTGGAGCCATTAGCACAGCGCCCAGAAACCCTTATGGTCCCTTTCATTCACTGGACTGTCTGTCCTCAGTCTACTTGCTGGCTGAACCACAAAATCAGTTTCCACAGACGGAATGAATCCAATGTGTTCTACCGGAGACCAGAGGCAGCAAGGATAACATTGCCATACACTAGTCCTGATTCTTATCTGATTTTGGAAAAGGATAAATACTAATGCATGAATTTGGACATGAGTCAAAAGTAAGCTACATGGAAAAAGCACATTGTTTAAAAAATAAACACATAGGGACTTTTGGTGGTATTGCTTTAAACCTATGGGGTTTGGATTTTTTATAAGCAAGGTTAATGAACCACATGTTGAAAACAAAGGAAAGGATTACAATATACAAAACTTAAGAGCTTGTGATCAAATCATATGCAAATACTTTTTATAACAAAATCACTTTAAATGTTAACACGTAATGTTTTTATACAATAATACTGAATTACTACATATTAAATTACTACATATTAAAAGCTATGGTTTGAAAATGAGGGCTGCTTCAAAACATTTTATTCCAATCTCATTCTCTAAGAACCCAGGAAAATTGCTAAACCCCATGCTGTTCTTCCATGAGGGTCGGTGGTGTAGCTGCCAGAAGCAAGTTACTATGTAACACTTGGAGAAAAGCAAGACTACATCAGCTCAGGGTGCAGACTTCCTGAGTCAGAAACAAGTTACTGAGTAACATGTGGAGAAAAGCAAGAGTTAATACCAGCTCCAGGTGCTGCTTATAGCCTGAGACTCCCACCGGGTTCCCACCGGGTTTGCTGACACAGAAGAGACCTGTGGACCCAGTATCATAACTCCAGGCGACACTCACTCCAGGAGAGGGCTTCTGGGAGAATGATACCAATGCATGCTTCAAAATGAGCAGGAACTTCAGCAGAGAGCCTTGAATCTGTTTCTGAGGTACCACCAGCAGATGAGGTAAAACACAACAACCGTGATTGTAGAGCCGGGGGATTTCACATTTATGAATCGGCCTCAGTACCTCATTCCTGCTGAGTTCCTACTGGGAACTAATTTCCATCATCAATAGGACCCTTTAAAGCAATGGTCCTCAATCTTCCTAATGCTGCTTCATATGACCTCTAGCCATAACATTACTTTCATTGCTACATCCTAACTGTAATTTTGCTACTGTTTTGAACCTTCAGTATCTGTGCTTTCTGATGGTCTTGGGTGAGCCCTGTGAAAGGGTCATTTTAACCCCAAAGGGGTCATGACCCACAAATTGAGAATTGCTGGCTTAAAGGTTCATCCCACTGGCAGTATCCATGTCAAAAGACTCAATGTTTATATAGCATGACAGCCAGTCATAGTCTTGTATTAGAATCCCCGTTACAATGAAGAGAACAGAAAAGGGCTTCAGGTAACATTTATTTCCCCGTGACAGTCACAAAGCCGTTGTGTCACATCCCAGAAAAAAAAAAAAGGCACAGTAATCACTGTTACGATAACAACATCAATCAAAACAAGTGGTTTTCCCTAGTCATGAGTCTACCCATCAAAAAATACCCTATTTCCACGAAGGCTGAGAAATGTCTATTCCATGTGGCATACACAAGCAGCTGGACCACAGCTCGGGGGATGGGGTGCATCTCTTTAACTGCTTCCCCAGGCTCTGTTCTATAATTCTTCTCTTGGATCCTTCTGTGTCTCCTGCGTGGCACTGTCTTCCTCACTGGGTGCCAGCCACGTGAGATACACCTTCACTGGGTCAATGTGCCAGTGTTTGTGAAATGATATAGGGATCTGATGGGAGAGGTAGTCCTTTGGGTAATCTACTGGCCGAGCCTGCACAAAGAACAGAGAGTTACAGTTTCCTGGGGATTGGAGTGATTGGCTCATTCCTCCCCCCCACCCCCAACCCACCCCCACCCCCACAGTAGCTGGGAACAAACACAGAGATCCACATATGGACAATGCAGAGAGATCCTGGGACACTCAGTCCCAAATGGGATGTCTCCATCAAATCCCTCCCCTTGGGGCTCAAGGAACTCTGCAGAAGAGGAGGCAGAAAGAGTGTAAGAGTCAGTGGGGAGGGAAGACACCAGGGAAACAAGGCCGTCTAAACACAGCAGGGCAATGCACATGTGAGCTCACAGGGGCTGTGGCAGCACGCACAGGACCTGCACAGGTCTAAGACAGATGGGGGTCCAGTGCTGCTGAGGGAGGGAGTGAACACAGCCCTCCCCCCCTGTCCCTAACCCGGAAGTTATCTCTAGTTAATAACTCCTCTAAAAAAAATTTAGTTTTCTCCAAAGGAGTCTCCCAGGGGTATACAAACCACACTTAAGGTAGGCTCCATGCCCAGCAGTAGATGGCCAACACAAAATGAACCCATTGCTATTTTTAGAGGGTTATTGTTGTTGGTTTGTTTGTTTGTTTGTTTGTTTGTTTTGTCTCATGTCTGGGCTGGTTGTTTTTTTTTTTTTCTTTACAGGTCTTTTGCTTATATACTATGTTTCCCATTTTGTGTTTTTATGAGGCATCTATGTGTGCAATTATGTGTGTATCTACATCTGTATGAGTTTTTTGTGCCTTTGGCTTTTTTTTTTTTTTGGTCTTTTTATTTGTTTTTGTCCTATTGTGATTTGTTTGTTTTTACTTGATCTTATTTTTGTTGTTGTTTGTATTCTAATGAGAGAAAGGAGGGTGGGGAGGTGGCGAGGTCTGGGAGGAATTGTGGAGGGACTGCACTCAGAATGTATTACATTATAAAAAATTATCAAGCAGGTGAAGGTACTTGATGACAAGCCTGAGGATCCGGATCCATCCTCCCTCAAGCCCATATGTTGGAAGGGGAGAACTGACTCTAGCAAATTCTCACTGTGATGCCATCCTCCGTCCACACACACAATAAGTGAAGGTAAATCTTTTCAATTATTATTTCAGAATAACATTTTGTTGCTTTTGGGGACAGGATCTCTCTACATAGCTCAAGATGGCCTGGAACTCCATATGTAGGGCAGGCTGGCCTTGAATGCTGGGATTTAAAATGCATGCCACGACAACTGGTCCAAGAAAACCGTTGATCCATATTGCAACTACTTTGCCTTAATATTCTATAGTGACTATGGGAGCCTCAAAGCACGAAGGGACATATTTTCTACTACATTCCCTTGAATTCCATATGCATTGCCTTTAATTTCTCTAATTACTTTAATTTCTCAAATGCTTTACTTTCTATGCCTGTGTTCCACACTTGGCTTCTGGAAGACTGTTCCAGCATAGCAATAAACACAAAAGGTTTCCTCCACCATTCATTCAAGTCATCGGTGTGGGATATAACTTTTGATTAAGAACAACAACAGAAAGAGGAAGAAAAACTTGTTTACTGGGTCTCTTCCAGGAAACTGCCAGGCATGGGCTATGCAGGAGCTGAGGCAAAGTGTTCTCAGGGCCTGGTCAACATATCCAGGTGACAGCTTTCAAAGAAGGAAAACATCAGTTCACTGTATTGAAAAGCAGTATAATTGTGGTCTAGACATACAAATGGAAACAAGGACTAAACCTAAGAAAAAACTAAAAAGGTTTAATATCATCGCCATTCAAATTCTCTATGACTCAGAAAACAAAACACAGGCAGAATTAGACCTGCCTTAAAACGGCAAGATATAGGACAAAAGCTACAGTTTTCAAAGGCTAATTGAAACCAGATATGATCATGTTTGCATTAATCAAAGCACCCAATTTATGTCAGTATCCTTAATTTGCAAATAAATTTTAGATAGCAATGTGTTTTATATAATAAATTACTTAGTTTATAATATTAAAATTATCTCAATTTTTAAAATGATATGTAACACACTTTTTTAGATTCTTTTATGTGTATGAGTGCTTGCTGCACATATGTATGTGTGTGTGTCACATACATGCCTGGTACCATTGGAGGTCAGAAGAAAGCACTGGATCCCTGCAATGGGCATTACAGATGGTTGTGAGCCACCATGTGGGTGCTGGGAACTGAACCTAGGTCCTCTGCAAGAAGAGCAACAAGCTTCTCTGATGATGGCTGAGTGAGACACTGATCTATGGGGATAGCAGTGGGAATGTGGCCTGGTTTTGTTTGTTCCATGTCAAAACTGACTATTTTGGCTGACATAATTGCATGTTTTCATCTCTTTTTTTCCCCAAGCCACATCATCTCTTCTAGAAGCAAAGCTCTTAGTTATTCCAGTGAGGTGTATACAGGTAACAATGATGCTCTTCGTAGCCAAGCTGAAAGGGTAGGGAACAGGCAGAATGACAGTGACCTTGGGCATGAAGGACTTGTATCCCATTATTCATATTCAAAAATACATATAGCAGGAGAATTTTTTTTTTTGGAAATCAATGCTTCTCAATTGACTGCTAGTTTTTACTTGATGTCCAGAGCCCTGAAATCATTATTTATTTTTACAAATCCTTGTTCAGTTTAATATTTGTATTTTGTGCAGGGAACTCACTGACCACTGCATATTGCCATATCCATTCGCGAAATAGGATTTTGGAAGGGGTGATCTAGACATTCCTTATAGTCCCCTTCTAACTCTGTGATTCCACAATGATACACCCTGACAGAAACAGAAGGTAGCTTAGCTAGTAGTGCTGCCACCGAGAACACTCTAAGACCTCCTCTCCATCTCTCATGTAGTGGGAATCTGAGGTGTGGGCATGACATCTCAGACTCTCTCAGCACAAATACAGCGTGGAGATCTTGTTTCAGACCCTGCAAATGAAAAGCCCTTCTAGAAACTGATCACATGCTAAAAGATGGTGAAGACAGAAGATACAGCAGTGTCCGTTGCGGGCACAGGTTATAAACACACTCTGTGGCTTCACATCGGGTTCAGGTTTACCATGAGAATTAGAGAAAACACCACGAGGAACAACACATACTTCTAAAGACATCGTTTCTGAATTATCTTCAAAGGACTTTCACTTCAGGACTACGCTATCTTTCCGTCTCCCTTTCTTATAGTTTTATTGACTAATGTATTTTATCCTAGGAGGAAGGGGCTGCGATAGAAAAATTTAATTAATCTTGATAAATTACTTCCCTCATACCCAAACAGTTTTAATTATTTTTCCAGGAGTGAAACACTGTGACATAAAACATCATAACACAGAGTCTGAGAGGGAGGGACAGAGGATAATTCACTCTCTGAGTTATCGTAAAGATAGCATAAGACACAGGCTTAGACGGGAAAGATTTCTGGAGGTCTAGGTGCATATGTGCTTTCCCTCAGGGGCAAGGAGAGGGGTTCCTGTGAGCTACATGTGTCTTCCTGGGAGTGGGGGGAAGTGGGGGCTCCCATCAGCTTCCTGTACCTTCCGCCAGGGGCCAGGAATGGGGTTCCTGTGAGCTTCCTGTGCCTTCCCCCAGGGCCAGGAGTGGGGTTCCTATGAGCTCCATGTGCCTTCCTGGGGGTGGGGGAAATGGGGGTTCCTTTGAGCTTCCTGTGCCTTCTGCTGGGGACCAGGAATGGTGTTCATGTGGGCTTCCTTTCACAAAGGTTTATTCCTAACCTCCCTGTTTTTCCAGACATCAATATGAGTTCTATCATTGTTGCCAATGATTACACTTTCTTTGCTTTGTTGAAGTTGTTTTTCTATAGTGAAATTCTGCCATGTTCAGTTTTCTATATTGCTGTGTTAGCATTTGCTACTTATTGATTTAGAAAAAACAGAGAGAGAGAGAGAGAGAGAGAGAGAGAGAGAGAGAGAGAGAGAGAGAGAGAGAGAGAGAGAGAGAGAGAGACTGACTGAGAGGTAGGTTTTGGAGAGATTGCTCAGCGGCTCTTGCTGAGGGCCTGGGTTCAGTTCCCAGCACCTAGATGGTGGCTCTCAACCATCTATAACTTCAGTTCTTAGGGATCCAGTGCCCTCTTCTGGCCTCTGAGGTACTACATAGGTAGAGCACAGACTCACATGCAGGCAAAACACTCATCTACACTTAGATAGTAATAATAATTTTTAATAATTTAAAAAGCAGAGGCTATATTTTGAATATATGGTAGGACTTATTCATATTCAAATTTCAAAAGGCTTCATATTTCTTAAAAAGGATATATGTTTATTAAATGGTTGTAAATTATAAATTATGTATATGTATGATATCATTTTTAGAACATTAGTTGACTAGGTTCTTAAAATATTACTAAAATTAATGGGAAGAGCCAGGCATTGGTGGTGCATGCCTTTAATCCCAGCACTTGGGAGGCAGAGGCAGATGGATTTTTGTGAGTTCGAAGCCAGCCTGGTCTTTCAGGACAGCTTCCAAAGCAATACAGAGAAACCCTATCTCAAAAAACAAAAAAAGAAGAAGAGGAAGAGGAGGAGGAGGAAGAGGAGGAGAAAAAAATAATGGGAAGAATTCCCTTTTCCAACTCTGAAATTAATATCAAGAATTTATGAAAACCATCACCCCTATAGACACCATTTTATCCTTTTATTGATTAATATAACCATTTTATTGGTTTTCCGTAAACTGGGAAATACATTCAGACACCACCTTGAAATTTAGTGGACTTTAGTCACCTGTTTAAAAAGTAAGCCAAGGAGAAAAATCCCAGAAAAACTCAACAAGACAAAATAAAAGCTGAGGATACCATACACTTACATCTACCTGATGGCCTCCAGCCTGTAAAGGCTCAAGTTCTTGCTTCCTATCAAGGTCAGTGAATGTGACATCTACGGGTTTTCATTTCCTGTCCCCCAGGAAATGATATATTGATATATGTTTATCTTCCCAAAGGAAAAGAGAGAAGGGAGAGAGCAGAGGAGAGAGAAGAGAGGAGGGAAGGGGAGATGAGAGGAGAGAAGGAAAGGGGAGAGGACAGGGGAAGGGGAGGAGAGGAAAAGTGTGCTTCCTAGTGTTGCCTGCAAGCCCACTGGTCCAGTATCACTTGGTTTTCTAGGTGTCGTTGACTCATCTCTACGATGCACATGAAAAGCACAAGATCTGATAAGGACTTCTCTCATTGAAGGGCTGGAGAGATGGCTCAGCAGTTAAGTCTTCCAGAGGACCCAAGTTCAGTTCCCAGGACCCACACGGCAGCTACCAACCATCCATAACTCCGAGTTCATGGGATAGCATGCTGTTTCCCGAACTCTGTGGGTACAGGCACATACATGACACACACATATATATGCACAGGCAAAACACATACACATGCCTAAAGGTAAAAAGAACATCCCCCGTGGAACCTATCCTAGTCCTTAAGATTATTTCCAAAACATGAGAGGCAAAAGAAACAGACAGGCTAAGTGAGAAGAACTCTCCCCCTGTGACGGGAAGAGAAACACTTTCTCACCTGATGGAAGAGGGGACTGTGTGTCACGGGAACTCCCAACCCACTGAAGCACATGCCCAGGACCATGTCATCGGGAGCGTCGTTACTGTAGCATCGGCAGCTGCTGGCAAGAAGTCTCTGGATGGCTTCCCTGCTGAAGACCATGCTGATGGAAGCAGACAGAAAAGGGGTTAGAGCAGAGCCATGGAGCCAGTTAACCTGAGTGGAGGGCTTCGGCTTAGTCAGAGGCTACACTCCTGAGAACGGCACACATTATTGGCACGGGACACTTTGTTGGCCACACTGGAGAGGACAGTTTTATATTTACCTACCTAGTAGATAGACAGTTGTATGTGCATCTCCTATAAACAAACACTGTGTGGCGTTATTTTTCTAACATACTGTCCGTTTTTTTGTCAACTTGACACATAATAGAATCAACTAGAAAGAGAACCCCACTTGAGAAAATGAGGTTCTCTCTATCAGACTGGCCTGCAAGTGAGTTTGTGGGGCATTTTCTTGATTAATGATTGATATGGGAGGTACAGCCCAGTGCGGACAGTGACAGCCCTGGGCGGGCGGTCCTGGGTTGTAGAAGAGCAGGCTGGGAAAGCCATGGGGAACAAGTCGGTAAGCAGTACTCCTCCATGGCCTCTGCTTCAGTTCCTGCCTCCAGGTTCCTTCATGATGGACTGCAAGCTGGAGGATGAAATAAACCCTTTTCTCCCCAAGGTGCTTTTAGTCACGCTGTTTATCACAGCAACAGGAAAGTAACTAACGCAGGGGTGGTCAGGTGACCTGTCTTGAACAGTGCTGTGACATCATTTGGCCTAGGATGTGGGGACTTACTTCCTTGAGGCAGCTTCAGCCCCACTGTATCTCTCTACGCTTCCCTCAGCATCCTGGGCAGCCAAGTCTTTCCATACAACCCTTTTGGGCTTCCCTTGACAGCTGAGTCCTTGGCTCATCTGACAGCAGGGAGCCCAAGACTGAGGGAAGACGGTCAGCTGCTGCCCCTGTTGGTCGGTGCTGCAGAGGCAGCCACACATTCTTACAGAGTATCTAGGGAGTCAGTCCCTATGTGTGCCTTGAATGGAATATGTGAGCATCGGGATCCCGCAGCAGCCATGGGCAGACAGGAAGCGCCCATCCCTCGCAGCAGTATTTCTCTATGGTTGGTGACCTCAAACTACTGTCCCATGAGAAACTCTTTTTAAAAGAGAAATGAGTTTTTTTGTTTCCTTCCTGGTCCCACAGCAGTAAAAGTCCTCTTCTGATCACAAACCCTCAAAGGTGACACAACTGAACAAAATCCACATATATCTTCCCATATCCAATGCATGTACACAGTAGGCACTCAAACAAGTGTAAGGTATAAAACAACCCAGGAAAGCCTCCTTTGCAAAGATCCTTCATCAATCCACCTAGCAGACAGAGCACTGGAGGAAGTTTGAAGATACTGGTTAAAAAAATGATGATTCTCTATCTCGCTGGGGTCTGCTGAATTCTGTTGCATACCGGAGACAGAAGCAGGGAATGGCAGTCCAAACACCAGGGAAGATAGTGCAAATGCTGGGGACGACAGTGCCAATGCCGGAGACAACAGTACAGACATTTAGGCACAGTAGTGCATGCTGGGGACGACAGTGCCAACACCAGGGATAATACACCAGAGACGACCATGCGAATGCTGGGGACAACAATGCCCACACTGGGGACGACAGTGCAAACACAAGAGAGGACAGTGCAAACACTGGGGACAACAGTGATGCTGGTCTTGCTAAAATGCCAGATGACTCAACAACAACAACAAAAACAGAAGTTCTTTATAAGCTGATATGTAAAGAAACACACACACAAAAAAGAGGTAAAGTTCCTGTCAACTACATACACTAAGAAACTGCAAGTTTGCAAACTGGAAAGACCTTCCTTAGAAATTTGACCAGTGAGACCCCAGGGTCACATGCTTTCAGGTCCCCGTCAAAATCCAGCACAGTTAGCTAGCTACAGTTGCCCCAGATTCCCAACCCCGGGGAAAGGGCTTGTGTGAGAGACGTGTCCCAAACTCTTTCTTGTTTTCCTTTGCCAGCCCCAGCAGAATGAGAATAAATAAGGCCTTTCATTGTGGTTGGCTCCTGGAAGACCGCCTTCACAGGAAGATAAAATCTAAGTGTGGAATTCCCATTGGTAATTATTTTACACTTTAGATAATTCACATATACTAAGTACACACCGCTTTAGCAAAATTTATTTATTAGTACCGTTCACAAGTTCTTTCTGGATAAAGCTGACCATGCACAGGGAGAGTGACCGATTCCCGATTTGATAGGAAAGAACACTTGAGTGTTCCACCAGCCCACTTTTAAATATTAAAAACTGGGGGATGGTGAGATGGCTCAGTAGTTATTTTTATTCTCATTTTATGTGTATGTATGAGTGTCTGTATGCATCTGTACTCAGTGAGGCCAGAAGAAGGCATCACAGGCCCCAAAATTGGAGTAACAGATAGGTATAAACCACCATTGGAGTGCTGGGAACTGAACCAGGTCCTCTGCAAGAGCAGCCAGTGATCTTTACCTCTGGGCCATCTCTCCTGCCCCTAACCCGCTGTTTAAGAAAATTACTTCTTCAGTCAAATCCTTAGAAATTCCTAAGTGGCCCTGGACAAAGTACACAATATTGTCTGTACCTTTTATCAAAGATTGGCTAAAGGGATCATCGCATGAAGATTTCTTCTGCATCTCAATGAAGGAACTTTTTAAAAACCAAACCATGCATGAGTCATGCCATCTATGAGGAAATTAAATGCCAGTGTCCGTGTGTTTCTTTTTTTTTTTTTTTTTTTACGAGACAGGGTTTCTCTGTATTGTTTCGGAGGCTATCGGTCCAGCCTGGCCTCGAACGCACAAAGATCCGCCTGCCTCTGCCTCCCGAGTGCTGGGATTAAAGGCGTGTGCCACCACCGCCCGGCTATGTGTGTTTCTTTATTTACTTGTTCTCTGTACCTTGAAAAGCAATGAGTCCCTTTGCTACAAAGTGGGGCCATAATGAGAAGTAGGACACAGGTGCTGTCTACAAATAATTCATAACCTAAGTGGGAAACAGGAGAGTAAATCGGCAATTAGATGGTAATGGATTGCATAATGTACTGTGCAAGTGCATTTGAGAAGCACTGGACCTGATTACAGGGGCTGGGCTGCGTTTCTACAAACAGGAGTGGAGAATGACAGGGACTGAAAATCTGTAAGGAGAACTGGCGACATAGGAAGCTGGCTGGGATGGGTGGCAATGCTTACGGCAACCATGTTCAAAGAGAAGAAACAGTGTTTCCGGGAAACTGCAATAAGTTCAACATGGATCCATTAGGATAAGAGTTCACACATATGAGGTGAGACTGTTCAAAGGACACAGCCAAATTGGGAGAGGGGGGCTCAAGAACCTTGATAAGTGGTGGGCTTTACACACTTTACACTCTGGTAGAGGAACACTGAGAAATCAAGTCAGTAAGGAGAAGGAAGCTTCCTCTTGACTGGCTACTGGGTTACCAGAAAGGAAGAAGCCATCCCTTGGACTTCTCTTGGTTCATGTCTCAGCATTTTTTCTCCCTCATACCTCCAGTCATCATGCCATCCTCCATTTGATGTTGTCAGAAGGCTGCCACCGAGACTGAGCAGAAGCCAGGGCCACACTATAATACTATGAACTTCTAAAACCATGAACTAGAAAACCCTCTTAGTGTTAAAAGTTACCCAGGTTCAAGTATTTTGTTACAGTGACGGGCAAAATGGGCTGAGACAGAAGCATTCCAAACCCAGGTAAAATGAAACAGGAATGAAAGGCCCTGATCCTTCAGACGCTCCTACACTTTCTAGGACACTGGTTAGTACACAGTGAACATGAACGCCCGTGGATAATAACCAGTTAATGCCCTCCTTAATACCAATAGTAAAGTCTGCAGCAATAATATAAAAGATTAACTGCTCGATTGATTTGCCCATACAAAATCAAATTAAAAAATCTTTTCCCATAGAGTTCAGGCAGGTGCTTCATTTAAAACGATGATTTTTTTCAGCTATTATTTAAAACCTATAAACCCTACACAAATACTATTTAATTGGCTAAGTCTAAGATCCCATATTCTTCTTTCATCAAGTGTGATTTATTAAGCACTGGATAATTCAAAAGTTTAATGACTTATTTTTTTCTAAAATTAAAATCTATAAGCATTTTTTTCCATCTAATCTGACAGTCAAAACTAGTCGGTTGTCTAGAATCAAGCATTAATTCCAGGGAGATCCCTACCAAGTACGCTGATCTGAATTTTATATTATTCCATCAAAGGATAAGCTATTCTTTACTCTGGCTCTGTTCATATTTCTCAAACGTAAAGTTTACTTTTCTATTATAGGAACTACCCCCACCTAAAGAATCCATGTATCAGAACAGACCGCTGCACTGCAGGTCATGTCTGCATGTGCGGAATGAAAAATCTAATGTTTAAAATACCGTTAGTTCTCTCTGCACTCATGGGCTCCACATCCATGGACTCCATCAAACACCAATGAAAAAAATTTCATTGAGTCTTATTCTTTTCATCATCCAGTAAAGAACACAATATAAAAACTATTTCTAGTTAGGCATGGTGGCACATGATAGCTATCCTATATCACTCTGGGGACAGAGGGAGGACAAGATCGAGGCCCGCTGAAGCTACACAGTCAAATCCTCACCTCAAAAGAGGAAATCCCATAGTATTTATGTTGTAATATGTACTAGAAGTGATTGGGAATGAATTTAAAGTTTGCAGAAGTGTGGGCATAGGTCACACGCCAACGTCACATTTTATCTAAAGGTCTTAAGCACCTGCAGGGGTTCCTGGACCCTACCCTTCAGGGCTAAATAGAGATACAAAGAGACAAGAGATGGCTGTATCCACCCCTCCACTCCCCCTCCACACACACACACTCACCCGCCTCCGCCTGTGACATAGCTGTAGCCGCCTGTGCCCAGGCCGTAGCCGTAGCGCTCACCCAGAAACACCGGATCACTTGAGTCGTAGCAGCTAAGCAAATGCCGGAGCCTGGAGATGCTGAGATGCAAAGACTTATTTATCTTCAGAATAAATCATTTAGAGCTGAAATTCAAGTGCACAATAAATGAATTTTAAAAGCCCCCCCCCCCACTTCTAGTGAACCCTGTACATTAGAAGAGAAGGCGAGAAGTCAGAGGAGCCCTGTGTCCAACTTGAACTCAGCCCTGCTAGGCACAAGGTCCTCCCTTGGGGCAGCAGAGTGGCAGGTGAATGAATGACTGAAGGTGGTCAGAGGGCTGTTTCCAAGTGGCTGTCACTAAACTCCCCTCTTCTCAAATGGACAAGATTGTTTTAACTCTCGATGAGTAAAAAAAGAGCTTCTGAAGGGCAAGAGGACTTGGCATTTGCCGTCAGGCTGGGGTCAGCAGGCAGGAAGACAGCGAGGCTAGATGTTTCCCCCACAATTCCTCGTATTGTATTGTCCTTTCCTCGACAAGGCTTCCGGGGAATGAGCTCTGGCCTGCATGTGAATCCCTTGAATACTTCGGGGGCCCACCTGTCCTTGTATGGGCAACAAGGGCAGCTGGCAGATGCCAGTGAGAATGCCCCCACACTGCAAGGACAGCTGCAGTGAGATGAATAAGCCAGTCCATGGGAAACAGGAAGTAAAACTCACTTTTAAAAGCAACATATGGGTCGATGTGGCAAGGGCAAGAGCTCCCCTGTTTTTAAGCATTAGACCATTTTGAGCTGGGTGTGGTGAGCCACGCTTTTAATCCCAGCAGTTGTGAGTCAGGGATAGGCAGATCTCTGAGAGTTCTAGATTAGCTAGAGATGAAAGAAAGGAAGAAAGAAAGAAAGAAGGAAGGAAGGAAGGAAGGAAGGAAGGAAGGAAGGAAGGAAGGAAGAAGGCAGGGAGGGAGGGAGGGAGGGAGGGAGGGAGGGAGGGAGGGAGGAACAAAAATGAGGGAAGGGGGGAGGGGAGGAGGGAGAGAAAAGAAAACCAATAATAACATTTAGAAATGTCTTCCAGAGGCCTCCCTTACACTAGGATTTCCAGGTCACCCATCAGCAAGTATTAACTTTCCCTTAGAACACTGAAGTGATCCTTAAAATTAATTTTTGAATAGCCCACAACTTCGGGTTAACATGTAAAAGGGCTAAGTGTCAAGATGCCTCGAAGACCCTGCTCCAAGAGCTCAAGGGATCTCAGGCCTCTGTGCCACATCATAACACTACAGACTGAGTATGCGGGTAGCCAGGGCCCTAGACACGCACTTGGGGGCAGTGGTGGTGATGAGGAAGAAAAGGCCAAACACACAAGAATGATGGATCTACCGTGCTTTCTAGACACTACAAAAATAAACAAACAAACAAATAAGGCTGAGAATGGGGAAAGCGACTTTACAAGACAAAAGCAGCCGCAAACCCTCCGTACAAGTGTGTGTTCTCGGGGCTTGGAAGTCGACAGGTAGGTTTAGGATGTCTGGAGGCCAAGGCCTTTGCCGATGTTGGCTGATTCTGAGTGAGCATAAAACACTATCCTTCCACATTCTGCTCTTTGGCATGAAGGATACACATCCTAAGCACTGCATTTGGAATCTGTCTTCAAGACGCCGTCTGGGAAGTTAATCTTTATGGGGAGGCTGACTGTATTTGCCGATGGAGGATCCACGCTCGAGGATTTCTAAGTGCTCAGTTTGTAAGAGACCAAAATCCCCCAAACTTTCTAGGGCAAAATGGGTATTTCTTGAGCTTGAAAAGACAGAGGGGCTAGAGGGGTAGATCAACAATTAAGCACGGCCAGCTCTTGCGGAGGACCTGGGTTTGGTTCCCAGCATCCACATGGTGACTCCAACCACTGAACTCCAGGCCCAGAGGATTCAGCGCCCCCTTTGGCCTCTGCAGGCACTGCATGCATGTAGTGCACATACATACACATGAAGGCAAAACATTCATAGACATAAAATAAAGTATTTTTTAAAATCGTAAAAATTTAAAAAGGGAGAGAGAACTGTTTTTCTCTTCCCCCCACATATTGTGAAATTATCAATTCCACCTACAACATTCAGTATTTTAAGGTTAAAGTAAATTAAGATTCCCCTGGGCTTCTTTTTCTTATACCATGGGTGATTCCCATCTTCAACACAAGGCTGCAAGGCTCAGGGGCCGCAAATGGAGTCTGGTAATTATCACCCACTTCAGATTCACTGGGGAGTAGGAATGCCGTTGAAGCAGATATATTTCAACTCTATAGGGAGTTGGCCCAGGAAAAGCATTTCACTTAACAATCTGTTCCCATTTCAGCACTTCTGAGTCTCAGACGCATGTCCATACTCTCGAGTGCAGCCTGGCAGTGCAGGCAGATTTCACCGGCAGAACGCCGACCTTGCAATACCAGAGGATGCTCCATTCTGCCCTATTATGGTATTGCATGCTATAATTATAGGAAAGTCACAAAAAACAGGATGAAAGCCCCAAATAGCCTTTCCCCACATTAACCGATTATTCCCACTTACTCTAATGCCTCATTCACAGGCTCTCCTCTGAGTATATAAAAAACCAACACACAAACACACAATATGGACTTTTTTTTCACTCTCCTGAAATTGTATACATTAGATCCTTCCCCAGCCATCTCACTGTATATTTCCTCAGCGCAGAAAAAGTCCTCATCTTCAGGAAATGTAACACTGACATGATATGTTTCTGTAAAAAAGTCAGCAATTCTGTTCCTACATATTTAACCAAGAGAAATGAAAGTAAGACTACACTGAGACTTCTATGTGAAAATGTGGGGGCTGGTGCAATGGCTCAGCAGTTAAGAGCACTGGCGGCTCTTACATAGGACTAGGGTTCAATTCCCAGCACCCACATGGTGGTTCACAAACATCTGTAACTCCAGTTCCAGGGGATCTGATACACTCTTTTGGACTCCCTAGTCACTGCACACATGTAGTACACACACACATATAGATACAGGCAAAACATTCAAATATAAAATAAGATAAATAAATCTTTTAAAAAATAAAATATATAGTAGCTTTAGTTATAATAGCTTGAAATCAAAACACTGAAACAATATATCTAAGCAATACCATCATTTATAACATTCCCCCACACACACTTGTGATTTTCTTTGGCTAGTAACTATTGCCATATTGTTGAATTCCTATATTTTTCTTCTGCTATGTCTAATTTGAGGTTAACACTGTTCAAAGGCTTTTACAAATCCCTGATAACAAGCTGGGCGTTGGTGGCGCATGCCTTTAATCCCAGCACTCGGGAGGTAGAGGCAGGCGCATCTCTGTGAGTTTGAGGCTAGCCTGGTCTACAGAGCGAGTTCCAGGACAGCCTCCAAAACAATACAGAGAAACCCTGTCTCGAAAAACCAAAAAAAAAAAAATCCCTGATAATAGCCAGGTGGTACTGGTGCACGCCTTTAATCCCAACACTCGGGAGGCAGAGGCAGATGGATCTCTGTGAGTGTGATGCCAGTCTTGTCTACAAAGCTACACAGAGAAACCCTGTCTTGAAAAATAAAAAATAAAGAAATAAGAAAATCCCTGATATTAGTTTTCATGTCTATAAGGTTATTTCAGATTTAGAGTATACCTTCCACGTACCCCCTTCGAACATATGAAATAGCTGTGACAATTGTTTACTAACGATATAATAACTAATACTAACACTATCAATTCTGGAACAGTGTCACTGGGTTATGGTGCGTTGTTCTGCCCAGTGGGAACAGGGACTATGCCCAGCCCTACATGAGTGCCCACTGTCATTCCCTCTAGTCATTTTGGTGGGTTCTGTTCCAGCTTCTAGAAGCTTCCTCACGTGGACATTTTACTCTACTGAATACTTGAGGAGGGCCCTCTGCGGATGCCCACGGTTGTCTTTTTGGTCATCGGTTTCTAGTTCTAGGTCCTGCAAACTCTAATAGCCTTGATCTCCTGAGACTCTCAGATCTACCTCTTCAACATAAACTGTGTGTAGGTGCCCAGCTGGTGCCTCCTCCCCCTTAACAACGGCTGAGCATGGCCAGAAGGCAGTCAGTGGGACAGTGACCTGTTTCACGTTGACAGATGTTCAGTACCTTAAACCCATCCCATCACTGCTGCTCAAGCAGACATGCCTACCATAGCAGTTAGAGCCAGTCCCAGGGTGACAAGGACTCTTACCTGATCAACGTGTCATCATCCACGATGACTAACCATGCTACTTTGTCATGGCTGCGATTCAAAAATCTTTCCAAAATGGCAAAAGTTTTTCCACAGTGACCTAGGAAAGGTAAGAAGAAAACTGTAAATGTATTATTTGCTATAATATACAGCATACATTTATCTGTTTGCTTGTTTAGTTTTAGTTTTAAAGTGATGGAAGACCCTGACTGCTGACCGGCACAATAATAACTTGAATTCTTCCCAGAAATTAGCCTTCCCTAATTCTCAGGTAAGCTGAATTAAACCCTTTCCTCCCTAAGGTGTTTGGTCACAGCATTATATTACTGCGATGGAAACTCTAAGTAAGGCAAAGCCTGTAATTCTAGCACTTGGGAGGTAGATGCAGCAGGATCATGAATCCAAGTCCAGCATTAAAGCCACCCTGGGCTACACGAGACTGTCTCAAAACCAAACCAAACAAAAATGTTTTTCACTAGTAAACTCTCCCATCTGGAAGGAAAACCAGGTAGGCTCACAACCACTTTTTAATCAAAATATAAACAGCTATAGTATTTGTTACTGTCTATCTGAACACTATAAGAATGTGCCAGGCACTCAGAGAGTCAAAGCATGGGCTAGACCAGAGACCTAGGAGGACATAAGCTTTGGGTGAGAAGCTGACAGATTAACTTGTCACCTCCCACTCTAGTCACGCTGAACCTGGAGTTGGGAAACCACCACCATTCATCTGTGTTGTGACTGCCGTGTGCTCAATGCCAGGGTGCAGCACATCCTACCAAAAACGCAGAGCTTCTGTTTGTACTAAAAGCCCCATGTGAGAGCCTGTATATATCTACAGGTAAAGATGCTCAGTGGAAACAGAGAGAAAAAAACCTAAAATAAGGAATCCTAGTACTTAGATTTCAGTTTATCCTGACTTGCTGAATTCACACAGACTGGGGGTTTTAAATCAAGGGTATAGTGAGAATTCAGGGCTCACCTCTGTCCGTGTTGGGAATCCCCAGGTCCACAGTGGGAATGGGGCTTTCTGCGTAGTCACTGTAGTATTCGATAAGGCTTGCCTGTGCTGCCCATGTCTTCTTTACAATGGGTACTGAAAAAAAAAAACACAGCAGAGGGGACTGTCACAGGCATGACACAGAAAGAAATGAATGCTTAAATGGGCAGTGTGACCCTGAAGAGAAGCAACACTCACTCTTCCTTAGTGTCCCAAGACCTGGAGCTTGCTCTGTTCCCCAGGGAATGTCGTCTGCTGCCGGCCATGGAACCGACCGCTCTACCTGAAGTATTGCTTGCTGACAGCCCCTCCTGTGCACAACCATTTCACCGCCATGGAATAAAACGTTGTCCGACAATGCTTTGTTTAGATGAACTGTAAATCAGTTTCTTCCAAAAGGTTCTTTCATTTAACTCTCCATAAATGACTTCTTAAAATATTTTTGGGAGCTGGAGAGATGGCTCAGTGATTGAGAGCACTGACTGCTTTTATAGAGGACCCAGGTGTAGGTCCCAGCACCTACATGGTGGCTCCTAACTGTCTGTAGCTCTAGTTACAGGGGATGTTCTAATGCCCTCTTTTTGCCTCCTTGGGCATCAGGTACACATGTGGGACACATACACCCATACAGGCAAAGCACTCACACACATAAAATAAAATAAATGTACCATGTATTTTATATGTATCTGTGTGTGTGCAAGTGTATGAGGCATGTATACACACACGTGTGTGAGTGTGTGCATCTGTCAGCACGGAGGTGGGAGGAGGGCCTGGGGTGCCCTCATCCATCACTCTCTGCCTCATATTATCTGAGGCAGAGTCTCTCATGGAGCCTGGAGCTCATGTTATTCAGCTAGGCCACATGTTCAAACACATGAGCTGACAGGGGACACTGAACATCCAAATTTTCCACCGTGGAATAAAAGCATACTGAATCAAGGAAGTTTGCCATAGAGTTATTTTAAATTGCAGCAGAGTAAAAATTTATTATTCAAAAGTTATTATTAAAAAAAAAAGAGGATGAAATCCCAGTAGCACAAGTAGTATAAATCTTTCTAGAAGCAGTGGAAGGCATACCTCACTGTAAGGGACAGCAGAATAACCCATTTTACCCCTATGAATTAACTTGCAAAATTGCGTCGTGTGACAAGTGGCATTTGAACATTTTATAAACGTTCAATCCATCAATGTGAACATGCCACACAGTCAAGAGTGACGTGCTGTTCTGACTCTGAGGAATTCACTACTATCAACTGGCAAACGGACCTCTTCTCTCCAGGGACAAGTCAGGAACCATAAAACAAAGTCCTGGTGTCATTTTTCTTCCCCAGAGAGTGTTAGCGGCACACAGGTTTGCCAAGTCCTCGCTTTTGAAAACTTAAGTGGCTGTAAGCAGGAAAAACACCCCTCCTGGCTGATTCAAACAACACCGGGAACATATTCAGCCATTCAACATCCAGGCAGAGTGAGGCAACACATGACTCCCCTCAGCCAATTCAGATTTAATCACCTTGTCTGATTGGTGTGGCCTTCCAACTGGGGGCAGTTTAACCCAGGCCTCACCTTGTAAGGAATTGGGTTGTGTCTCCCATACCTGCAGCCTCTTTCATCAGAGGTGGCAGCTAGGACACCGTCTAATACAGTTACTAAGATCTGCCTACCCTGGACAAGATCACAGCAGGAAAAGATAGCAGGTGGGTTTTTTCCTTTTTTTTTTTTAATATGAAAGCAATAGTGTTGTTTTTAAGATCTAGAGAAAGCTGTGAAAAAGGACTAATGGCTGAGGAAATCACACTTAACCTGTTTAATTAGAGGGAGCCCACAGGAGAGCATGTCAGACCCTGTCTACTGTGATGAATGAAAACTGCCTACTCCAGGAATGTGAGGCATGCTTGCACCGCACGACGGCGTGGCAGAATGGTGCGGAGAAAACACGTAAGGGGAATGGTGCAGAGAAAACACGTAAGGGTTTCTAACAGCTCACATTACACAATGAAGACCCCATAACCCGAGAGGAAGTCACTGAGGGGCATCTTAAAAATCAGGAGTCTTTTCCCTACTCACATACTTCAAATGGTGTCTACAGGTATGACTCCTTAGATTAAAAAAAAAAGTAAAATATTTTTTGCTATGTTCTAAGAATTTTCTATTCTATTTCTGCCTGAATCCACACAAATTCAGTAGCATTGCTCTTTCGTTGTTAGGGATACAAGTAAAATTGCTAAGATATTTGAACTTGGTCTTGTTATCAAGTTCATCATAATGATATAAAAATATGAATTCCACGTACATTAACCCTTGTCATTCTGTCCCTCCTCCTCTTCCATGGAGGTGATGGGAGGTCATGAGGCAGGTGGGCCCACAAGAAATGGCATGGCCCACTCTCAATTTTCAAAAATATAGTTTCTTATCTGTTTTATTTTTTTTCCTCCCCTTCGCTGCCATTTGGTGAGAACAGGAAAAGAGGAACACTAGTCCCCATCTGTGTATTCTGCTCGAGACAGTAATATGCTTTGACGGGGGCCCTGCCCAGTGTGTGCTGTGGGTCACGTGTGGGCTTCAATTCCTTGCTGTCCTTTCTCATTGCTGCTGCAAAGGGAAGGCCTGCTCGCATAGCTTCTGCCCAAGCCCTAACTGGCCTTGAGCACAGCCAGGCATCAACACGAGCATCAAAGACAATTTATCAAGTGGGGTTTGTAATACATCCAAGGAATACAGTCAGGATGGAGCAAGGAGCCCAGGTCTGCCCTCCTGTTCTCAACGTGGTAGAATAGCATTGGCGGCTTGCTAAGGGAGAGGTACTACCTCCAAGCCAGAAGAATGGAGTGTACCTGGGGCTGGAAAGATGGCACAGCGGTTTACAGCACATGTTCTTGACTGTGTTCAATTCCCAGCATCCACGAGGCAGCTCACAGCCATCCTAACTCCAGTTCCAGGGAACCTGATGCCCTCTTCTGACCTCCACAGGCACCAGGCATTAAATAAATAAATAAAGTGTGGAATCTACCTCTGGATGGAGACACGCATCTCCTTCAACTGGTCAGGTAATGACCCATCCACCCCTCAGGAAGACAGGTTCACCTGCAGCCATGCTAAAGAGGATGGGGGAATAATTATCCCTTTAACAAGACAATATACTCTTCCTTTCCAGAATCCCAGCCCCTGTACAGTCATTACAGGTCTCCCTGAGCTTCTGCTGGCTCTGCCCATTTTAGAAAAGCATAACTTCTCCTTTTTTTCCTGCTGTTCTCCTTTCTCCAGATGCTGGCTAGTGCCCAAGTGTGTTTTCCCTGGTACTCTGGATTCTCACGCTCTTCCTATAACTCACTCCCTGGGATTCCTTGTCCATCACGCACCTGACCTCCATGCCTACTCGGCTCAAATGCCATGGCCTCTTTGCTGTCCCCCACATCCAGGCATCTGCCAAGACGCTTGGAATTTTTCCTTTAAACCCAAATTAAACTGTCTTAGGGTTTCTGCTTAAGTCTGCTCTTAAATTCTTTTAATAATGTGACTAATCACCCCTAGAGGGGACCCCAATTACCCTCCTAACATGATGACTGTAGCAGGATGCTCCTACATTTCTGGTAACAAGAGGCCATGGGATGTGGCTCACCTGTCTCTAGAAAATCAAGGGTATCACAGTTATTGTCATAGCATAAGGAACTGTCAACATAAAAATCAGATTAGGGAACAGCTGTAACAGAGAGAGAGAGAGAGAGAGAGAGAGAGAGAGAGAGAGAGAGAGAGAGAGAGAGAGAGAGAGAGAGAGAGAGAGAGAGAGAGAGAGAGAGAGAGAGAGAGAGAGAGAGAGAGAGAGAGAGAGAGAGAGAGAGAGAGAGAGAGAGAGAGAGAGAGAGAGAGAGAGAGAGAGAGAGAGAGAGAGAGAGAGAGAGAGAGAGAGAGAGAGAGAGAGAGAGAGAGAGAGAGGAGGAGAGAGAGAGAGAGAGAGAGAGAGAGAGAGAGAGAGAGAGAGAGAGAGAGAGAGAGAGAGAGAGAGAGAGAGAGAGAGAGAGAGAGAGAGAGAGAGAGAGAGAGAGAGAGAGAGAGAGAGAGAGAGAGAGAGAGAGAGAGAGAGAGAGAGAGAGAGAGAAGAGAGAGAGAGAGAGAGAGAGAGAGAGAGAGAGAGAGAGAGAGAGAGAGAGAGAGAGAGAGAGAGAGAGAGAGAGAGAGAGAGAGAGAGAGAGAGAGAGAGAGAGAGAGAGAGAGAGAGAGAGAGAGAGAGAGAGAGAGAGAGAGAGAGAGAGAGAGAGAGAGAGAGAGAGAGAGAGATTATGGAATTGTCTGACACTGACAGGATAACTATAACTGATCAATCTGGTGGTTAGACTACTTAGTGAATTATTTTTATTACCTTTAAAGTGTGCATGTGTGTGTGTGTGTTCCTGCATTTGGGTAAGTATACATGAGTGGCAAAGGTATCAAATTCCCTGGACATGGAGTTTTAGGTGACTATGAGCTGACTGACATGGGTGCTGGGAACCGAGCCCAGGTCGTCTGGGAGAGCAGTACATGTTTTTAACCTGAGTCAGCTCTCCAGCCCTGGACTAGACATTTAAAGGAGACTGTGCAGAGCCTAGCAGCCAGGCAGGCTTTGCTTCCACCCAGCAAAAGACAGAGCTAATCTCCCTACAAAGCTGTCTTCACAAACCAAGGCATGGAAGCTTAAAGATAGCTCACTGCAGAAACCCTCGTGTGAAAGCTTCAGCCTTAGGTCTTGTGTCTCAGTCCCCACAGATCCAGAAATGAATTTTTTAGATTTATATCATTTAAAAAAAATGTTTAAACTCTAAATTCAAGGATGATGGCATTTCATAGATATCTGGGGGAAATTATCTCAATCTTAAAGAAATAAGAAAGCTAAATTATTCAAAATTCATAACTCAAAACAAACAAACATTAACTTCTGTAGATTATGAAAAATATAACAAGTATGACCTGAAAATATGCTTTAAAGCAAAAATTACAGTGTCATCTCTTACCATCCACAGTATTCCTAACATCAATATTGCAAAAAGAATCACTATTCTGAGGGCAGCTTCAAGATCAACTAAATCAATATAAATATTTTTCCAGCAAAACAAAATTTAAAAAAAATCTAATGTATTTCTCTATTACCTTTCCCCCAATTTTTTAAAAGATTTATTTTTGGTGTATGTATATAAGTGCTTGTCTACATGTATGTTTGTGCATCATATGAGTTCAGTTCCCTTGGAGGCTAGAAGAGGGAGCAAAATCCCCTGGAACTGGAATTACAGATGGTCATGAGTTGCTACGCAGGTGCTGAAAACTGAACCTAGGTCCTCTGGAAAAGCAGCCAGTGCTCCTAACCACTCCATCCCCTCAAAGATATTTTTCCAAAATCACCCCACAGAGCCCTTTCAGATATTAAATTTAGGTTAAATTTATGATAAATGAAAGTCTTATTTCAACTCCTTTATTGATCTTAACAGTACTGTAGGCCTCCTTGTGTAATAAATACATATATTTACTCAGTTAAATTTAGTAGACTTGGGATTTCACATGACAAATTCAGGCAAGTCTAAAGACATGATTAATGTACTTTTACTGGTTTTAAATTGGTGATGATGTCATAGGTCATACTATAAATCCAAATTAGCATATTATTTCATTTAAAAACCTCTTCTCTCCTAAAATATAACCTATGTGGATTGTGTTATTGCATAAAATATATACACAAATTTCCCAACATTCTAATCCCATGACCATGATGGCTGCTTTAGCAAGCTTCCTACATACACACGGCACCCTGTGTTATCAGTCTAAATAAAATTGCTAAAATCAAATCATGCAAAGGAATGCCTGGTTCTGAGAATCAGAGAGTGTTCATTCAAATACAACATGAAAAGAGGAATTGTGCCAATTCTATCTAGGATGGGACTTTTCTTCCAGCATTGTCCCCAAAACTGAAAAATTCTGCAATGAAACACCAGAAATGAACAAAACATGTACACACCAGGGGTTCCATACATTGTTTCTAAGGTGAGCTTTTTTTTTCTCTTTTCCAATACAAATACTCAATGAGAAAATCTGTGATCTTCATTAAAAAGTACCAGTGTATATACGTGAAATAAATATAATAGGGGATTTTCTCTGATGGGATTGTATTAACTAGGAAACCTCTCTGGTAGTCTCCATATGGTTCAGCCACTGAGCCTGCATACAGTGGGACCCTTGCAGAATAGACTGTCACCCACACACTGTTCCCAAGGCTGCCACAACTGTGTTTCCTATTTTCAATTTAAGGTGCTGAGCTCAACAATGTTTACAAGAGCTATACCCACTCACGCTTCAATACAAAATTTCCTCTCCTAAGTGATCTCCCAGGGACTGGAGTGGCCCGGCAAGGAACCCTGATTAAATAGTCACTTTCCCTTAAGCATCCATTACTATCATCACCCATCTTGAATTTGCACCTAGCTTTCACTGTTTCAAAGACATTTTGGATCTTGGAAGTTCAAGGAAAATGAATAGGGCGGAACATACTTCTATCACCGTGAAATTTCTTGCATGTTTTCACTGCAACAAAAATCTCCTCCTTATTCACTGGTGTTCCCTAAAAAGGGGGGAAAGAGAAAAGAAAAAAATTATATACATCTGTGGGTCATCATTACCTAGACTTCATGCCCATAGTAGATCTTACATCTATAGTTAAAATTAATCAATGGTATAGCTATCTATTCTGTCTATACTAGTCTTTGGGAAGAAAGGAAGTGTGTATGGAAAGTGACAATGAAGGCTTAGAGTCAACCAGCACAGGACCTACATCCTATTTCCCAGCCCAGCCCTGGACCTGCATCCCAGCCCAGCCCTGGACCTGTACCCCAGCCCAGCCCTGGGCCTGTACTCCATCTCAGCACTAGACCTGTGAGAGACCCCAACTCAACATTTTTAGACCCCTAGCAACTAGGCCATCACAGAGTAACTTGTCCTTCTGCCCTCTCCTGAGAAACCGGTGACCTCAAGATAAACTTAAAAGATAACACTCCCTGATCCAGGAACTAGCTCACCACATTCCTGCTCAATGTTTAACTGTACAATGCCCAAAGAATGCTTGCTTGAGATAACCTCTAATCTTCCTGTTAAGGCATGAGCTATCACTTAACTTTCTTTATGGTGTTTACCTAACTTCCCCATCCTTTATGATGTTTGCCTAACTCCCCCATTCTTTATGGTTTTTCCCTTTTAAAAGCCCCTGACTGCAACTACTGGGGGTCAAACTCCTTTGCCCCTGCGAGGGTTACAAGCTCGGCCCTAGTGCACTGGTTCCCCGAATAAACCTCGTGTGCTTGCATCAAGAACGGTCTCTCTTGAATTATTGGGGTGTTGGCTTACCCCGAGACTTGAGTAAGGATCTCCCCACTCTGGGGGTCTTTCACCTGCACCCTACCCAACTCAGCAGCTGCAGACCATGAGTCATATTAGCAAGTTCCTTAAGCTCTTTGAACTTCCATCTGGTCATTCAGAAATCAGGAATGAGAACTGCCAAGAGGCTGCTGTTGCTACTAACTCGCTAAGTACATGGCAGGTAACTAATAAATGTTAGTTGCTCTCCTTTCATTTCCTCACCTGGTGGAGACTTTGACAAAGGGAGAAGAATAGAGGGTGATTTCATGTGAAAGTGGGCACTATCTGCTTCTCTAGGGCTGACCATGCTTGGTACCGAAAATCATGGATGACCTCTTTATTTTGTCCTCGCCATGGCTGCTCTGTCCTCTGCTAAAGAGAGAACTGCTTCACAGCCCTGGTGGGAGGAAGGTTACACAGGTGGGAAGCGCCCCAGGAACTTGATGACCACGCACACCCAAGGACTTCCACTGCTTCCTGGGGGCTGGGGGCTGACCCCACTAACTGGTTAAAGCTTTTGTCGATGGGGAGCAGGATGCTCAGTTGAGGAATTGCTTCCAGCAGACTGGCTTCTGGGCATGTCTGTGGGACACTCTCTTGATTACAGATTGATGGGGGAGGGCCCAGACCACTGTGGCTGGCATCCTCCCCGGGCAGGCTGTCCTAGGTTCTATAAGAAAGCAGGCTGAGCAAGCCATGGGGAGCAATCCAGTGAGCCGTGTTCGTCCGTGTTCTCTGCTTCAGTTCCTGCCTCTAAGATCCTGCCTTGAGTACCCTGACCACCATCAATGGTGGACGGTGATCGGGATGGGTGAGCCAAATAAACCCTTTTCCTCCCCAACTTGATTTTGGTCATAGCTTATCACATCAACAGAAAACAAACTACAATACCCCCTCTTGTCTGTCTTCAGCCTGTAATAACAGCCACCAAGAGTTTGGGGTTGGTTCATAGTGATGTCCCCCAGATCTGTCGTGCTACTAAAGGCACCAAGAGCATTACAGAGCAAACAGGTTTTATGTCTAAAAAGACTAGTTACCTACTTGGAACTGCAAACATTACAAGTCCACCCTATTGCCACACTGTATAGTGTGTGTGTGTGTGTGTGTGTGTGTGTGTGTGTGTACTTTTCCATAACTGGTCTGAGAACAACACACACTGTATGAGGGTCTTGAGTGTATTTTCTCTGACAAGAAAGAGGGGGGACAACAATCTAATAAACTTCAGAGTCTCCAGGCCCATGGTGGGAGTAGATCATAGATCTTCATGGAAACTAAGTGTCCTATGAGCGTCCTGAATCGTCCCAGGTTGAGAGAGTGGTGCAGGCAGGATGTGCACGGTCTTGGGTGTCACAGAAAATACCTGTGCTCGCCTTTCTAAGAAGTGGAACAAAAGTTCCTATCATCCCACATACCAACAAAGGATACGAGCGTGGGCTGAGAGTAAAGGCTGGAATGAGAGGGTGCTGAACCCAGCTCTCTGTTCTCACTCTGGCCAGGGAGCCTTCTCAAGCACCTGACACTGCGCCAGAGCGGCAGCTCCTTCAGTGGACCTGGCTGGGGCTTCCTAGCCTGGAAAGTCACACCTACTTGACTAAGAGCGTTAACGGCTATGGAATCTTTAGACTTCCAGAACATCTGGCAACCCTCGGGTAGCTTCATAATGTGCGGCTCACCTACTCATTCTTAAACACAAAACATAGAAAAGAACGTGATGCAGTTGGGAGCAGCCCCAGGAAAGCAATGTTAATGAGCTGGAAGGAGGGATGGAGAGAGAAGAGGAGGGGGGTAAAGACAGGGAGGAAGGGGGAGGACGAGGGGCAGATGGTACACACAGCCTTTCCCATAACTGCATGAGGTTGTTGTTGAATGTATTTTCCCTGACAAGAAAAAAAAAATTAACTAGTAAGTTTCAGAGTCTTCCCGTCCATGAAGGGAGTGTGCGCGTGCGCACACGAACACACACACACACACACACACACACACACACACACACACACACACACACACAGACCTTCCCCACAGTGTAACGATAGAGGGGACCTATAATGTTTGCAGTTCCCAGTGGGCAACTAACTAGTCTTTCTAGACGTAACTCCTGTTTGCTCTGTAATGTTGTTGGTGACTTGAGCAGTGGGCCTTTTATGACAAAGGCCCTACTAAGCACACGTACCATTCCAGCCTATTGTCCACTGCACCTCCTTTACCTACCCAGTGTCCCCTGCGCCTTCTTCCCCGCCCATCGCCCACTGCGCCTCCTTCCCCTACCCATCGCCCACTGCGCCTCCTCTCCCTGTCCACAAAAGCCCTTTCACATATCTGTGTTCTCTAAGACAGTCTGTGTGGAGACGGCACTTCCCATCTTCCAGTACGCTAACCCTTGACTGACCCATTTGTTTCCCAGGGCTCTTACCTCCCTGGTACTGGCTGTCCAGTGGTAAGCAGATGGACCTGGATCCAGGAGCACTAACTCTCCATGCATCGCTCATCTCAGTATAGAAGATAGGAATAGTAACAGTACTTACCTATAAGGCATATGGCATATGGCTGTGGCTAGGCTCGGAGCAAACGCTGATTTATTTTTAAGTAAGCGGCTTACTAGCATAATGTTATGTCCACAACACGTAAATGTTATGCATACAATATGCGCGTTTTCTTTTGATCCACAAGGAAGTGTTGCTGCTCTTTACTTACACAAAGTGGCAGAAAAGAGCGGAACGTGGTGGCACAGTGGGAGCCGGCATCGTGTGTACAAAACTCAGGCACGGGAGTGAGGGGCGGTCCTCCACCCTTGTCCCAGATGTAGAGGGCAATCTGTCTCGAGAGTAACAGGGAAGAAAGAGCTAAACTGTAGTGATATGTTATTTATGACCCGTTAAAGCTTGCCACCTGAGGATTCAGAAAGCAAAGTCAGCCTCAAGCTACAGAGATCAGGCAGTGGTGACACACACCTTTAATAGCAGCAGCCAGAAGCTATGAGGTGGTGGTGCACACCTTTAATCCTAGGACTCAGGATGAAGAGATAGAGATAGACGGATCTCTGTGAGTCCAAGGCCACCCAGATCTACACAAGAATGAATCAGTCTAAAAGGGAATTATAGTTCACACCTTTATCCCAACACTAGGGAAGTATATAAGACAGAAGCAAGGTCTCAGATAAGGCATTTGTTCTCCAGCCACGCTGAGGAGAACCATCGGTTTGAGACTTGGTGAAGAGCTATGTGTGAAATCAGCCCTTTCAGCCTGAGGTAGAGTGAGAGCTAGTGACCCACTACTTTGCTTTTCTGATCTTCAGCTTGGAGTTTGAACCCCAATATCAGTCTCTGGGTCCTTTTATTTATTCCTGTTACACTAAACAAAAATAACAAATATAGGAAGGTACAAAATGTCCCAAGGGACAGCAGGATACACCTTCTAGAAAGAGCATTAGGGTGAGCAATGTCAATTCGTTAATATTCAACAGAATTTCCCCTCAGCCCCCAGCTTAAAAAAAATGGCAATCCCACATAAATTGATCTGATCTTTTATAATCAATAAAGTTAACCATGAATCATGCAAAACAAAATGAACCATGAAAAAAAGTTACAAAGATGACAGGAAGTAGTTTGAGGAAGGCACACCAAGTCAGCACAGAGACTGACACAGGGAAACAAGACCACAGTCTGGTGCTCAGAATGCCCAGCAGCTGACTTGCTAGAAATACCTGTGGTGGAGTGAGTGAGAATGGTCCCCACAGTCGCATATGTTTGGATGCCTGCTCCCCAGGGGGTGGAACTGCTTGGAAAGGATTAGGAGGTGTGGCCTTGCTGGAGATGAGCTCTAGTAATCTGCCTATCCTTGCCTCCCAGCACCAGGATGACAGCTGGGCTGCTGTGCCATGCTCTTTAATGTGTGCTGGGGATCTGAATTCAAATCCCCATCCTTATATAATAAGTACTTTACCAACTAAGCCATCTGCCCTGCCTTTTAAAAAATATATTTTTCAAAGTTAAGTTGCAACCAATAGAGAAACACTCACAGGAAGTTGTGGCACATACCAAAAATAATCATAGAAACAATGATTGCCATAATGAACAACCAAGAGTCAAGCAGACACTCACTATCAAGAAAGAACAATCGTATGTTAATACAAGAGACCACTATTTGGGGCTAGAGATATGGTTCAGCAATTACATGCACTTTCTGCTCTTACAGAGGACCTGGGTTAAGTTTGCAGTACCCACATGGTGGTTTGACCTGCCTGTAGCCCCACTTCCAGGGGATCTGATGCCCCCTCTGGCCTCTGTGGGTACTGCACATACACAAACACTCATACACTCACGCATAAAATAAAAATAAATCAATCTTCAAAAAAAGAAAGAAACAGAGAGTACTGTGGCAAGTGACACTCCGTTGGCTAGAGCTGCATGTGCCAACATAAATCAACTTCCAGTTACAGTGATGCTCCTGGTACAATTCTACTGTCACAAAGTCTGGAAGGGTACCAAGCACCAAGCAATAGAGAGAAGTTTCCAGTGATGTTTTGCATGCTTTTAAACATTCGCCCGGACTCATCTACCTACCTAAAAAAGCAAAGAGTCATGAATCATGAGATTCAACCTCCCTCCCAAGCCCACTTCTTCTCCACCTACTGCTGTGACTTTGTCTTACTAGGGAGACCATGAGGTCATGTGGAGAAAGGAAATACAAAATTTAAAACACAACTTTTGCATCAAAACACATGACTTTTGTGGGGGGTGCAGAGTTGGTGACAATGGTCATGACCTTTCCAGCTGGGCAACCATTAAGACCCACCCCCAACAAAAGGGGTGACTCCTTGATCTCTAAGTCTTCAAATCGTGGCATACCTCATGCTTCAAATCTATTGTGAAGTCAGACTTCAGGGGCTCACTCTTCAACCTCTTGGCAAGTCTAGAAAATAGAGACATTTGATTTTGGTTTGTTTGTTTGTTTTTTTTAATTACAGATTTGTGAGACATTCTAATAGTTGAGAACAGATAAAAATATAAATTTTAAGATAAGAGAAAATGCCAAGTTTCTTTTGGGTCACATTTTTTCTTTAAAAAGCAGCTTTATGGTTCCTTTCCCACAAGGAATAAGGCCCCACACTCCTGCCTGGCTCAGGGGGCTCTACTTTCCACCAGCATCTGGAGTCTCCACATGCTCCCTGGAGCGCATCTCTCCCTGCCCCATCCAGTCCTCTCTTCCCAGCCTTCCCAGAGCAAACCTTTCATTTTTAAGACTAAGTCTAAGGAACCATCCCTGGAAGCCTGTTCCTCACCAGCCCATTGGAAGAAAACACTACCATGATCCCTGAGTGTGAGGGTGAACAACAGTCACCCTCGTCACATACTTTAGATCAAGAGCAAGCCCAAAAGAATTCTGTCTGTCTGTCTGTCTGTCTGTCTGTCTCTAACAAAGGGTCTACTCTACATAGATTCAACATTGTAGGGAAAGGAATGGAGAAACATCTGTTCCTAATTTTTAAATTTCTTATTTATTTTACTTATATGGATGTTTTGCCTGCAGGTACGTCTGTGTACCACTTGCAATGCAGTGCCCATGGAGGCCAGAAGAGGGCACTGAGTCCCTGGGATCTTGAATCACACATGGTTATGAAATGCCATGTGGGTACTGAGAACCAAGCCAGGGTCCATTGAAAGAGCAGCCAGTGCTCTTAACTACTGAGCCATCTCTCCAGCCCCTTAATCACAAGCTTACTAGCGTTTATAAGGGAAGAATTTGCTAGCCCAAAATGCAACTCAAAATCACAAACAGATGTTATCAACCTATATCCACATGCTGCTTCCAACATTTACAGTGAATGGATCTTTTCTTTAAGGTTGCTTTCAAACTATTAGCTGATTTCAGTAAGTGTCCAACACACACACACACACACACACACACACACACACACACACACAGAGGGAGGGTGCATGCCACAGATAGTTGCAATACTAGATGGGCTTCATTATCTTATCTTTTTAATTCCTCGTCTGCATAAGGGGGAGGCAAAATATAATCTAAATAACCAGGGTTTGGATTTGTTGCTGTGGCAGAGTCTACATTTTTTTCACTTGATTGTTTTTGCTAACAGGAGAAAAGGTGGGCAGAGAGAGATGACCACAGTTATTGACTAACGCTCTCATTTGCTGGTCACTATTCAGTGTGGTAAGAAGCAGATGACACTGGCATACCTTCCCTTCTTACACGTGACCCGGTTTGTGGTATCTTGTTATAGCAGGCCAGACTAAGATGCCTACACACCCAGCTGCCACAAGGAAACCCTGAGTTCTCTCCTGTCTCAGCAGGAACTGTGCTTACACATGGCCAGAAGAGGAGATGGGAGATACTGTGGAAGCTGCACCTGGCTGTCTCCTCCATGCACAGATGGGTTCAATGGGCTCCATATGCCCACATGCACACATGCATGTACACACACACACACACGCCGTGCACACATGCAAAACCTTTTAACAAAACATAACAAAAAATGAACTTTACAAATAAAAACTAATAATTATGTACTGTAATCATTTCCAAAAGCTTAGAAGAAAGGGTTTTGGGTGCTCTCACCATAAATGATAATATTTTAAAGGCAAATGTGTATATATTTATTTTTAATTCATGTGTATGAGTGTCTTGTGTGCATGGATGTAAGTGTACCACGTGCATACAGTGACTGCCTGAGGAGACCAGAGAAGACATTTGATCCCCAGGAACTAGAGTTACAGATGGTTGTGAGCCTACACATGGGTGCTGAGAACCACACCTCAGTCCATCTGCAAGAGTAGCCAGTGTTCTTAACCTGCAAGACATCTCCCTGGCCCATGTATAGACTGACTGAAACATTACACAGCCTCTACATGTACTGAAGCACTGTACATAGCCATTAGTGTGTATAATTTTATGTGTCATTTAAAACTAAATTGAATTTAAAAGTCCTAGTGGTAGCCATCAGAAGTTCAGGAATTTCCCATGTAACCCCCAAAAGGTGGAAAAACATGGTTTCAGATAATTTTTCTGCATTCTGTGTCATCTGTTCTTAGCCACAGTGAAAAGTGGTCAAAACACTCCATCTTAAATTAAGTGTGCAGGGTGGATAACTCTCTGCCACTGTATAAAGGGGGCAGCTGTGGAGTCTATACTGGGCAGAGGAAAATTACAGTGTACAAAACTACCAAACATGGATTACGCCATGCAGATATTTAGGACAGCTGTGAAGTCACATGTATGTGTTCCTCTGCAGTGGTCCAAAACACTTGCAAGACCCCAAATCCTAGAAATATGACATACAATGAAAAATTAAGAGAAATCCTTCCATCTCTAAAGATACAAAGGCCACAGATGTTTTCCAGTCTTAGGTCTTCCAAAGAATAAAAGGAACATAATTAATATTAGCTAACAAAGACCTGAGGACAACCACGTTTCTCCTCCGCTGAACTCAGTCACCTGACTCACAACTGTGAATTCCTTGCCTAGGCATACAAACAGCCAGCCATGATTGCCCAGGTGGCCTTTGGGAGCTGGCCTGAGGCTGGCCCTGCTGCATCTGCATATTCATTCCCTTAATTAGCATCCTCCCCATTCCTGGCAAGTTACTGTTTCACTTTCTTACTGGTGGTCAAAGGTCTCCTCACAAAGGTCATGGCTCCTCCGTTCTCCATTCTCTTTGGTGCCCTCACTTAGTCTCCTGACTGATTTATTAGTCACTTTATTTTGCCAGAAACTACCTGGGAAGTAGAGAGAAGGGGAGTGACACACGGCTTCTCAAGGCATTCAGCTGAGGCCAAGACCCTCCTGTCTGTCACTTTTTCCACTCTTGCAGACCACCTCTGGCTGAGAAACTCATCTGAGGACCTACCAGTCATCAGTAACAAAGCTCAGAAACACCACACACTCCCCCGAGCATCTAATGAGCTCTTACTTGTTCACAAGTGGGACACTAAGGGCCCAGCCAGCAGCAAAGTCGGGATATTTAAAAGCTGTAGGATTCTCAGAGAAGGCGTAATGGTGAATGATTGTGGATTCTTCATCGTGCAATGCTTTTCCTAAAAACCATTCCTGTTAAATAAGAAGATAAAATACCATTGTTTTCAAAAAACCATTTAATCTTAAGACTGCAAACAACGTTATAGCACCAGATTTCATTAACTAAAATATTAAAGTTAGACTACACAATTCATTAAGTAAAATATTAAAGTTAGACTATTTAGTTAACTAAATATCTTGGCAGACAACGCATAAGTTATGTATTTCTGTAGAGTCCAAATAGAACTATAATTAACACAAGTATGATAATAAATCTATCACAATCCTTATAGTTAAGAAAATAATTCAAGATCAGGTCATTGGTTTGAAAAAATATTAGCTATCATTATACTATAAATACGACTTTTTTCATTTTCAAAAATTATCTTACTGCCTATATTTTTGTGTGTACACATGTGTGCCATAAATATAAGAATACTTTCTTAATTTTAAATTGCCTTATTATTTACTGTGTGTGTGTGTGTGTGTGTAAGGCAGAAGACAACCATGGGTCCTTGCATTCAAACTTAGACATCTTGGTTACAGGTGCCTTTACCACTGAGTCATTTTGCCAACCTGAATATAAAAGATTTATTTATTTCTATTTTATATAAACAAGTCTTTTGCCTGTGTGTCTGTCTATGCAGCACAAGCATACAGTGCCCATGGAGGCCAGAAGAGGGCATCAGATCTCCTGGAACTGGAGTTACAGATGGTCGTGAGCTGGGATTCAAACATGGGTCCTCCGTAAGAACAGACAGTGCTAGGACCACTGAGCCATCTCTCCAGCCCCAATCACAGAGGTTCCTAATAAACCTTTGAAAACTTCCATCCGGAATCATGACCACTTGTTCATTCACTCCACATTTTTCAAGAACATACAACAAGCAGGGATGTGGCTTGTGATTCAGAGGGGTAGAAATCAAAGAAAAGGCAATAACTGGTGGGGGTGAGGCTGCCCCGGAAGAGAGGAAAACCTCTTCAGACAAACGGACAGTGGTGAAATAACTTCAAGAAGCTCGTGGTAAAAAGAAGAATCCGAGAAAGAACAGGAAATGTAGTCAGGGTGAAGTCCTTGGTGTGGGGGGCGTTGAAACCTTCCATGGTAAGAGAGCCCGTTATCTAACACATAGTAGGTGTGGGGAACCTGACAGGAAAGGGGCAGCCAGACCCTAGCAGCTGGAGGAATATTATCTGTGCTCAAAGTGCAATGGGAAAAGGCCACGCCCAGCCACAACAGGGCAGCCTGGCTTGGCCTCCACGGCCACTGAGAAAGAGCAAGCACAGGAGACATGCGTATTGCGAATGATGGGAGGTGTCAGATAACGGCAGGCGGGGCAGAAAGAGCTGAGTCCGAAGCCCACATCTCTCACTCAGCTCTCACTACTAAACCTTCGATGACAACACTGTCTTACGCAAAACGTATTGTCATATTTTATCTCCTCATTACAATGTCCAGCTATTATAAAGCACATATGATTGTCTATTAATATTTTTATTGAGGTTATAAACTATTTTAAGGAAGAACCCAATGGAGATTATGGAAAGAACCATACATCTTCCCTCCTAATGAATGGTTCTCTTAGTGGCTTCATGGAAAGAACAATAATAAAAGATAGAACTGGAAAGATAATTGATGATGTTCTACGGGGATACTTTTAACCAGCACCATGCCTCGTTGCTGTTAAAAATAAATCAAAGTTAATATGCCTCATCAGATATACAGATATTAAAAGCATACTATGGAGTGGGAAAGGCAGGGTTCAAACAAGATGGAGATTTACAGAAACCGGCTAGGGAGGCACTTTAACTAAGATCAATTACTTCAATAACTATCCAGCTCATCTATTCAAAACATTGAACAAGAGCCCAAGTTTGCATTTGTAAGAATGGCTGGGAGATAGCAAAGAAAACAGTATCGGAATAAAAATACCCGATTCCGGATGCATGATGCAGTTATTATCTTGATATGGCTTATTTATGTCAGGACTGGCTCCTTTTTCTCCTAGGACTGCAAACAGTAGAAGAAAAAAGCCCCACCGGTTTGATCTAACCTCAACATTATGTCATCTATATTCCATCATGCTGTTTTCAAAAGAAATAAAACATCTTAGAGTTTTCTTTTCTCCACACTGCAGCGTTCAGAAAGGAAGAGCAAATGTCTCCCTTTGGCTCCGTTCTGAGCTTGCTTCCCCTGAACTCGCTTTGAACTTTTTCCATTTACCACTCCAATTTTCATGAAAAGGACACCGTGAGTCACCATCTCCCTACAGAATTAGAACAGTTGGTAACAGGGCAAGGGTCTCCAGGTGACACAAAGAGTGGGAAAGAGGCTGGAACCCCAACATTCAAGTCAGGAGGAAACAAAAGCCTCACGAATGGTTTGCATAAAACACAGCAGCAAGACCCAAGCACCATCTGGAAGAACCAGACCACACACGCTCCTAACTCTTCTCCCACCTAATGGCCTTCCCATGCATTGTAGCTGTGGCTTTCTCAGAAATCAGCAACAGAAAGAAATCACAATGGATCCAGGCTCGGTGGTTTTCATCGCAGTGATGCACTATGCGGTGCTGGGGAAACGATCTAATGATGGGTGTTGTCCAGCTTTTAGTTCTGCACCAGCACACACAGCCTGCATTCCCCAGACATCCGTCACCCACACTCCTATCTGGAGAGAGCCTCTGGGTGGATGGAGCCAGTTCCTATGAGTACCAGGAAGGATCCAAGTCCGCTTGTCCCAAGTGACCAGGTTGTGAGTTAGATACAAGGATATCAGACCCAGAAACTTAAGACATCCAAATACTCCATTTGAGAGCTGGAGAAATGGCTCAGTGGTTAAAAGCACTTGTTGCTGTTATAGAGGACCTAGATTTGGTTCCTGGCATCCACGTGATGTCTCACAACCATTTCTAACTCCAATTCCAGGGAGTCTGATGCCTGTTCTAGTCTTTGTGGGCACTGTGTGTATGGTGTACACATGTACATTAGGCAAAACATCCCTCCATGTAAGATAAAATAAAACATAAATAATAAAAACAGTTCTGTATGTTACATGTGTGCCCTTTTTTGGTGGGGAAAAACAGCTTACTTAATTTTATTCCTGTGGAAAACTGGTTGGCAACCCAAAAAGGGTATTGTTGCTTTTAACGTCCTTAGGTTTTCAACACATATAAATACATATTTTCCACATAAAATGGTTCGTGTTCTCTGTAAACTATAAATCTCAGAGAATTTTACAACACAGCTTTCAGAAATCAAGCTGTTATTTCAAATACCTCTTAATCAAAATCACATTTCCTCTGAATTATCGCCCCCCAAGTCAAAACATGGTTTCGAAGCAGTGCCCACCTTAGATGGGTCAAATCGCCCGAGTGTTTCTAGGAGTCTGCGGATTTGTATTCTCGTCTCTTCTTCGGAGAAGAAGATCCACGCTGAATCCTTGCTATATGTTACAGAAAAGCTGATAGGAAGAAATGTGTTAGAGCACACGGACTCATGGTTCACAGACAGCATAATGTGGGAGAGGAGTTTAAATGGATCTGTTTGTGGGTTTTTGTTTGTCAAGACAGGGTTTCTCTGTGTAGCACTAGCTGTCCTGGAACTCGTTCTATAGACCAGGCTGGCCTCGAACTCACACAGATCTACCTGCCTCTGCCTCTGGAGTGTTGGGGTTAAAAGTGTATGCTACCACCACCCAGCTATATTTCTTTTCTTTCTTTTTCTTCTTTTCTTTTTTGAGTTTAAGGTTATATTTAAACCGGTTTCTAGAAAATGGATGAAGGGGAAGGCAAGGTGTCTAGACTATGGTGTTCTCTGTATAGTCCATTCATATCTCAGCTTTATGTCTTAGCTTCAACTGCCAGGAAAGCCAGGGACTAATGATCTCCAAATGGTGAAAATGTTTATAATTCATTCTACCCATAACAACATCAGTTCAGAAGAACAATTTCAAACATGAGTTTGAAGCATTTCATCATTTAAGAAAGAAACACACCTAAAAATAAGAGCTATAGGGCTGGAGAGATGGCTCAGTAGCTAAGTACACTGACTGTTCTGGCATAGGACCTGGGTTTGAGTCCCAGCATCCACAGGGCTGTCCTCAACCATCTGTAACTCCAGTTCCAGGACATACAATGCCCTCTTCTGGCCTCTGTAGGTACTTCATGCAGGTAGTGCATATACTCACAAGCAGGCAAACACTCAAACATACAAATTAAATGATTTTGAAAAGTAAGCAAAAACTAATTATGATTAAGAACCAATCATGAAAAAAACTAGTTAATACAGTAATCACAAAATATAAAACTCAAATTCACTCCACTGAGCATCTCAGGAAACATACAACCTCTTAGTAATTTGAAAAACCTTCCTAAGGAGTGCAAGAATGTGGAGGCCCAAATGCCAATGATTGACACCGTTTGAGTAAAAGGTACCTACTGTGGTAACAAGGGAAGGATGGTCCAAGCACCTTCCTGCTTCGTCAACTGATGGAGAAGGAGCACTCTGGGGAGATCCTGAAAACACAACAATCAAAGAGGAAAGGTAAGAATATAACAACCCCTCAAAAACTGCAAAATAGCACTGTTGTCCCCAGAGGTGGCATGCTGCCCTTAATATCACTGTTTCCCACTTTGCTTCAGGGGCCACTGCAGTGAAGTGCCTCCGAGGAAATCAACCAGTTTCTCCCCCATCCAGACCCCAAGAGTGCTCAAGGGGCTAACTGGAGGTTTACAAATGTAATCAGAGAGAGAAGCCCCCAGTGTTGTTTGTCAGGGATAACTCAGGGACACAAAAAAACAGACCTTAGACACATGGAAGCAAAGCATGTTCTGCGAGGCCCTCTGTCTGAACAAAAGGGGCCACTATCCCATCCGTCTCGGATGCCAACTTTTTGCTTAAAACACCCCAAAATACCTCTAAAGATGTTTTGCACCATAGAAACACCACTCTAAGTCTGAATACTAGAAATATCGACCTTAATTACTCAGCATTAGGAATGGCTTGTTGAAGGTCCTACAAATTGATAAACACAGAAGGAACTAAAAGAGCCTAAAATCATGCACCACAGCTACATAAATACACATGGATTCAGACAAAGCGTGATGACCCGAAGGCCATGCATATTAGCTTGAAATTTCGCTGCCATCTGCTATATTTCAAGTTGTTAGGAAAGGCAACAGTCACGATTTCTTATCTATTATGCTTGATCCTTTTCCTCCAACACACGTTACTGTGTCTCCAACTGTGTATTAGCTGTAAAATGAATTCATGATGACTCCCGGCAAAGAAGAATGAATTCCTAAATGTCTGACATGCTATGAGGTCAGCCACACTTACCACTACACTGCCCACACACACTATACTACACTTAAGATATAGGGCATCAAAATGATTGTGATTCCTCACCACTTCCAGTACATATACATTTATTATTAAGAAGAGGTGGCTTAGCCGGCGGTGGTGGCGCACGCCTTTAATTCCAGCACTCGGGAGGCAGAGGCAGGCGGATCTCTGTGAGTTCGAGGCCGGGCTGGACCAACAGCCCCCCAAAACAATACAGAGAAACCCTGTCTCGTAAAAACAAAACAAAACAAAAAAACAAAAAGAAAAAAGAAGAGGTGGCTTTTAATTGCTGCCAGTGGATATCAAATTCACCTTTTTCCTTTTTCTATGTAGTACTTGTTTCAATTTCCATGTACAAATTTGAAAAACACAATCAAAAGTCAGAGCAGAAAAACAACATGACATACTCAGAAAAAAGCAAGCCTGAAGGCTGAATTATCAGTTATCCAAGGTAGAATAAAATCAATTATTCAGGGCCCCTCTACTCTTGCTTCTGAATTATGCACAAATTTTTATTACCTTTTATTTTAAAAAAAATTTTTTTTGGTTTTATGAGACAGGGTTTCTCTGTATTGTTTTGAAGGCTGTCGGTCCAGCCTGGCCTCGAACTCACAGAGATCCACCTGCCTCTGCCTCCCAAGTGCTGGGATTAAAGGCATGCGCCACCACCGCCTGGCTCACCACCTTTTAAAAAGTGTAATGTAAGCACACGTGCATATATATTCATGGAGGATTATATAAGAGCAAAACTCATGTATAAACTAATGATATGAGTATTCGCATGACACTGAAATAATTATATGTGACTACTAATGTGAACTAGTTAAGAAGTACAGCAAATACTGTTAAAATCTTGAGATGGAAAGCAAGTGCTAATGAGTCGCAAAGGGCCATTAAAATTATAATAAAAGTTAGCCGGGCAGTGGTTGTGCACACTTTTTATCCCAGCACTTGGGAGGCAGAGACAAGTGGATCTCTGAGTTCAAGGCCAGCCTGGTGTACCAAGCAAGTTCCAGGACAGTCAAGGCTACACAGAGAAACTCTGTATGAAAAGACAAGACAAAACAAAATTATGATAAAAGTATCATAACAATGGAAACATCTTTATGTCAAATAGACAAACTGGTATGAGTCCAATAGTAAAGGAACTTCCTATGTGAGCAGGAACTGAAGGAACCAGGAAGTGACAATGTTTGCTTTGTAATGACAGAATGTGAACTGTCATGTTCCAAAAGCCTTCAGCTAAGTTATGGTATGATTAAATCCTTTTTGTAAATTGAGGGGTGTTTTATTTTCCTATCGCTGTGATAAGACCATGAACAAGGCAACTTATAAAAGACAACGCTTCATTTGGAACTGTGGTATCTAATGGACATGTCTGTGTGGGTTCAAGCTCCACTCCTGGTATCAACTTCTGTCTTCGTTGCTTTTCTATTGCTATGGTACAACACCATGACCAAGGCAACTTATAGATAAGAGTATTTATTTGGGGCTTACAAGTTTCAAATGGTTAGTGTCCTTAACAGTCATAGCAGGAGGCAGGAAGTTGGGGCAGTAGTTGAGAGTTCACATTTTAAGACAAAATCATGAGGCAGAAAAAACTAACAGGGAATGGAGTGGGCTTTTGAAACCTCAAAGCCACCCTCAATGATATACCTCCTCCAACCAGGCCACACCTCATAATCCTTCCCAAACAGTTTCATCAATTGGACACCAAGTATCAAATATGGGGCCATTCTCACTCAAACCTCCACAAGAGGGATGGAACATTCCTCAAATTTTCACTTGCAAATATGTATTCCACATCCCAGTTGTGAGACATGTATGGTATCAACAGGAAGTCCCAGGCTTCTTTGCCAACAGCAAGAACACTTTGCTGGCAGAGGTTAGATGCTAGCTTATGAATGACTTCTCCCACAACACAAATTCAGCAAGAATTTAGTCAGCACAAAATCGGAGTCAATTCCTCTTCTGAAATCTATCCTCTGGATTAGCAGTGGACTGAACCTACTCCTGACTTCACTCATTTTAACTCACTACATTGGTAGGCAGGCCTCCTATCTCCTTCTATTTGTGACTTCAAGAAGGGCCAGGTTTCTGTCTTTGTCTTGTGCCTCTGTATCTCTAAGAAGTATTTCATAAACATGTGTCTTGTGGGTTCCAGTCCCCAAATGTGTGCTCAAAGTTGACAAGCAGACTCTGGCTGTTCCATTCATAAACCTCGTCTTGACTGATGTGAGAGCAAGCCACACTCATCACTACAAGGAGAGCTTAGTCTACTCTAGCCAAAAAGCCTGAGCTTTCATTTGTGTCTCATACTCAGATGTATAACACTTCTAAATCATCAAAAGTCACAACATGGCCTGGGGAGAGTGTCCGGTGGGTAAAGTGTTGGCTGCTCAAACCTGACAACCAGGATTCAATCCCAAGAACCCATGTGAAAGTGGAAAGAAAGAACTGACTCCACCAAGTTGTCCTTTGACCTCGGCGCACACATCCTAGCATGTATGATGCCCCCACACACATGGTGCAGGCACAATTTTAATATGTAAAATGGAGTGTTTTCAAGGTCACAATAATATTTTTCTATCAAATGATTTAATTTATGTTTAATCCATCACTACAGGATTTAGGCTGCCTTTAAAGGTGTTGTGTCACCAGCTCAACAGCACCTTCAGACACAAATGTTTTCAGTAAGCCATTGGGAAGAGAGCACTTTTTGGAGTCAGAGATGCAGCCAAGGGGTAGCGTGCTTGCCTAGTGTAACCAAGGCCCTGGATTTGGTCCCCAGCACTGAAAAGTAAAATTAGAAGAAGAAAGAAAGAAATAATAAGAGAGAGGTGCTGGGGCGCTGGCCTAGCGGGTAAGAGTGTTCTCTGAGGAAGCTTGAGAGCCTGAGATTGGATTCCCCAGCATACAAAAGCCAAGCACAGCTGTGCATGGCTGTGACCCCAGCAATGTGGGGAGCAGAGACAGGAGGACTACCGGAGTCTGCTGCCTAGCCAGCCTAGCAGAAGGAACAGCAAGCTCTAGGTTCAGTGAGAGACCCTGTCTCAGAGGAGTAAAGAGAGAGAGGGCAGACGGGATATGTCACAACCTCCTCTGGCTTACACAGGTGTCTGTGCCCATAAACACACACACGGACACTCACACATGTATACATCCACCCATGGACACAGACCCACAAACATGCACATGCACACACAAAAAGAAAATCCATGGTTGACAGCCATTGGTTGACAGCTCATGCCTGCAATCATAGCTCATAAGAAGCTGAGACAGGAATACTGCCAATTCAAGCCCAGCCTGGGCTACACAATGAGTACCACGCCTATGAGAAGCTACAAAGGAGGGGGAGAAGAGAAATGGAGGGAGACAGAAGAGAGTTTCCAAAGAAAAACTCAAGAAGAAAAAGAAAGTGCTGGGTATGGTTATTCTGAGGACCGTGGAGGTGCTCCCACAGCCTAATGCTGCCTGTGCTCTCACGGTCTAATGCTGCCTGGCCCCTAGTCATGCCACTATTTCAAATCTAAAAGGCTGAAAAAACATGTGCAGATAGAGAGAGGACACAGAATAGAAGAAGCATAAAGGTGTGAGAAATGCAGCTGATTAAATGTGGGTAAATGCAAGGACCACGGGACTTTTAACCTGTCGATAGGATCCCTGTGTTTGGAAACAGCCCACTTCTGCCTCTCCCTCACCTCCCGAGTACCATAGTCTCTTTGAAGACAGACCTGAAGATGATGCTTCAGCATTTCCCTTGAACTCATCTGTTGCAAGGCACATGCTCATATTTAAAACAATAACAATTGCTGAAAGTTAACAAATGTAAAGCCAGCAATCTAATTCATTGGTGGGTCCCAGTACATATACATATTCATCTTCGTTTGGAAAGGGGCCTTGATGCCAGTGTCACAACTGAGAAACAGCTTATTTGTCTGATTGGTTTTGTTTTGTGGCACTGGGGATTGGACCTGGGACTCTACACATGGTGAGTACCTACTACTGAGCTACACCCATAGCCCAAGACCACTAATCTTAACATAGAGGGGAACCATGAAGATTGATGTCTAGAGATGTCAATGGGACAAATGAAGAGGCTAACATATGAAAATACATCAAATCAAATGAATACTTAAACTTGTCAATAGTTTCAATTATTCCACAGATT